TCATCAGCATCATCATCATCATCATCATCAGCAGCAGCATCATCATCATCCTCATCCTCATCCTCATCATCATCATCAGCATCATCATCATCACCATAATCATCATCATCATCAGCATCATCATCAGCATCAGTATCATCATCATCAGCATCATCATCATCATCACCATCATCAACATAATCATCATCATCAGCATCATCATCATGATCATCAGTATCATCTTCCGTCTTGTCCTCCTCCTTTCCATATTCTTATTATGAATTGGTCGTGCGATTATATGTACGAGTTTTGGTATTATTCGTATTAGCCGTATCAGTACAAATGGTATCCTTAGTATTCCTCCTGATATTAGTTTACTTCGTATTCTTATCATTGATATAACTAATGAGTATGCAGATCTAATAATGATGGTGTTCGTCGTATTATATTACGTTAGCAGGGCTATTATTATCACGTTTGTATTATCAGTGATTCGCATGAATATTATCCGTATCCTTACTCGTATTAGTAATATTATCTATTCGTGCTAGTATTCGTAGTCGTGATAGTAGTAGTTGCTGTAGTAGTAGTAGTAGTAGTAGTAGTAGTAGTAGTAGTGGTAGTAGTAGTAGTAGTAGTAGTAGTAGTAGTAATAGTAGTAGTAGTAGTAGTAGTAGTAGTAGTAGTAGTAGTAGTAGTAATGGTAGCAGTAATAGTAGTAGTAGTAGTAGTAGTAGTCGTCGTAGTCGTAGTCGTAGTCGTAGTCGTAGTCGTAGTCGTAGTCGTAGTAGTCGTAGTAGTAGTAGTAGTAGTAGTAGTAGAAGTTGTAGTAGTAGTAGTAGTAGTAGTACTACTACTACTACTACTACTACTACTACTACTAGCAGCTGTGGAAATATAAATATTATCATTATCATCTTTATTCGTATTATTCTTGATGTGACTATTATTCGTAGTATGATAATTATTATCCTTGGCGTTTTGCGGCGGCCCGGAGCTACCGCGGCTCCTCCCCCTCTCCCTCCTCCTGGGCCGCGTCCTCCTCTTCCTCTTCCCCCTCTCCTTCCACCTCCACCCCCTCCTCCTCCTCCTCCTCCTCCTCCTCCTCCTCCTCCTCCTCCAGTGGCGCGCGCGGCCGGACGAAGGGGCCGTCACTTCGAGCTCTACCGATCGGGCGTCGGCACGGGTGAGAGCTGACGCGTGGGCGTCAGCGAATCCAGCCTTTCGCCACACATCATGGCCTTGAACTCCTCGAAGTCGATCTCGCCGTCGTGATTGAGGTCGGCCTCGTTGAAGTAGTCGTCGGTGGCGACGGAGGACAAGGACGTGGAAATGCGGGGACCCCGTTCGTGGAGGCCCTTGATGACCTCGCAACTCATGTCGGCATCGAATCGGGAAATCAGATCCAACCGGAATGTGCATCGGAAAAGAATCGGACTGGCCGCGCCAGATTGCACATCAGCGCCATGCAAGCATCGGGCGGGCCGCGTCGGATCGACGAGACATCAGACTCGAATCGGCTCGGGCAGGTCAAGATCGATATCGAATCGGATAATCGGATCGAAATGGACCCCGCCTCGTCCCTGGAGAGCTTGCCGTTGCCGTCAATGTCCAGGATGCGGAAACAGGACCACAGGATGTCGTCCTTACCGTACTGGTCCTTCTACGCCCGGGCGGGCACGCATGGGGCTCGAGGAATCAGCGGGGGCGGCGACGTCAAGGTCTCTTTGGGGAGCCTTTCGATTCAGGACGCAAGGATGGGAAGGAGAAAGTGGCGAGGAAGCAAAGGATGGGGGAGAGGAGGAGCGGAGGGGAGTCGGAAGAGGGAGGGGGGAGAACAGTAGCAGTAGTAATAGTAGCAGCAGCAGCAGCAGCAGCAGTAGCAGTAGTAGTAGTAGTAGTAGTAGTAGTAGTGGTAGTAGTAGTAGTAGTAATAATAGTAGTAGTAATAGTAGTAGTAGTAGTAGTAATAGTAGTAGTAGTAGTACTAGTAGTAGTACTAGTAGTACTAGTAGTTGTCGCCGTCGTAATAGTAGTAGTAGTATCAGTAGCAGTAGCAGTAGCAGTAGCAGTAGCAGTGGTAGTAGTAGTAGTAGTAGTAGTAGTAGAAGTAGTAATAGTAGTAGTAGTAGTAGTAGTAATACTAGTAGTAGTAGTAGTAGTAGTAGTAGTAGTAGTAGTAGTAGTAGTAGTAGTCATAGTACTAGTAGTCGTAGTAGTCGTAGTAGTAGTAGTAGTAGTAGTAGTAGAAATAGTAGTCGTAATAGTAGTAGTAGTAGTCGTAGTAGTCGTCGTCGTACTAGTACTAGTACTAGTACTAGTAGTAGTAGTAGTCGTAGTAGTCGTAGTAGTAGTAGTAGTAGTAGTAGTAGTAGTAGTAGTAGTAGTGGTAGTAGTAGTAGTAATAGTAGCAGAAAAACTAATAGTAGTAGCGGTGGTGGTAGTCGCGGTAGTAGAAATAGTAGTAGTAGTAGTAGTAGTAGTAGTAGTAAAAGTAGTAGTAGTAATAGTAGTAGTAGCA